GATGACAACAGGATTTTTCGATCTTTAGAAAATAATTTACAACTTAATCCCTTGAATGTCGTTTAATATCTTTATTTTAACCCGATACCATGTACTATACGTTTTTGAAAAATTTAAATTTAAGAAAATGACATGTCTGTCGATGTTTCTTTAAATCTTGCTTGTTTGTATTTTTTCTCGCAAACGTACACTGACATTTTTTTCCAAATGACGTGATGTGACGTGAAGGTCATAGTCACTCTTGGTCTCGAAGAAAAAGTCAGTATTTGCAAAAGTCTTTTCTGTTGAAACGTTTGTTGCATTTCAAACACGTAACCATGTTGTTGCCGTTGATAAAATCATTGTGTCTTTGAAGGTCATTCTTCATGGTAAACGTTTTACCGCAAATGAGACATTGGTGCCCTGTTTTAAAGAAAATAAATATATCATCTCGGTATTACAGCGTGCTGACTTTTCGACTATTTGTTGTAAACAAGATTATACAGGGTGTGCCTTTCTTTATATATTTATAAAATTCAATATTTTCATAGGTACATGTACATAAATGACACAGTGTACTACTAAACGTATGTCATCGTTTCTGACATAATCTGAAAAGGATATGTATTTAGGGGATTATCATCCTCAAACCGTTATATTAATAAATTGCAAACGAAATTTGTTTGACATAGTTACAATCTTTCCGGGACGATGGGGTTCTCGTTAATAATTCAAATAAATTAACAGGTTTCTTGGTTTAATCAAATCAGAGGTTAATCCTAGTTATATAACAAATAATCTTGTCACAAAAAAGGATATTACCTTCATCTTAATTACCATTTGATTTAAATAAATTCGATGTTTAATAAAAATAATCACTTTGTTTCAATTATTGCTATCCCTTTTGCTTGAAAGACTAAGTTATTTTAATTTCGCATATTACATGTAATCATATTCAACAATATATTCATCTATGTATTCATGTATTTGTACAATATTATTAGTTCCATAGTGTGCTAGTGACCTTAATATATATATATATGGGGTCAGTAAATTCCATATGGGTTGAGAGCGTTTCTTCATCTGTTGAAACCTTTAAGATTTTCCCCCAACACCGTGTTGTTTTATGAAGGTAAGTAACACCCCTTATAACCGTGTATTGAAATAAGCCCCGCCTAATAACCTAACACGGAACCCTTCTAACCTAATATGGAATATACACGGTCTCCACGCGGTTGCTTTTAACCAATCAGATTCCCATAAATCTATAGAAAGTAAGATAAAGAACCATATTCAATTCTCCGAACAAGTTTGTACTACTAACATTCACAATTCTTAATCTCCTGCCGCTTTCGCAAACTTTGGGTAATGAAGTTTTGAATACATGTATAAAGGAACAACGACAATGCGTTGTCCTTCAACAAATCATGACTTTTAACGGGATCAGCAAGCAAATTAAACGTCTTTTCAGTCATACCAATCACTGCCCAGTTTAAAAATACTTTATTGAAGCATACCTCAAGGGTTATCATTTTTTCTAACCCACCATTGTTTTCTTAAAATGTCCTGTAACAAGTCAGGAATATGGCAGTTGTAATCAAATAGTCTGTTTCTGTGTATGTTGGCGTATGTTTTGTTGCACTTCAGTGTTTCTGTTGTTCCGTTGTTACACGAATTTGTTTTGTCTCAATCGGTTTTATACTTTTGTACAGCGGTATACTACTGTTGCCTTTATTTATCATAGTAATGAAACTCTCTGTAATTGCGTTAATCATTCAAAATTTTTCACAATCATTATTATAATAATTAATAATCCGGTATATTTAGAAATAAAAAAATGTGTATGTCTACTGTGAAAGTATGTAACCAACCGCCTTGGTAACTTTAGTGGTAGCGAACACATTTTAAGTAGCTTTTCAAATGTAATGCTGTAATTAAAACTTCATAGATTTTCTTTGTTTTAATTATCATTATCATTTGTTAGAATTCACGCACAGGCTGTTAGTGTTAACGACGAGGCATATATCGTCTGAATACTTAAGGAGAACAGTATGTGCTGACGTTAACCACACACATGCTGTCTGAATATTAAAAGAGAACAGTTTGTGCTGACGTAAACCGAACCACACGTTGTGCATGTACCAAGTCGAATTATCTGAATAGTGTGTTTTTCGTTGTTGAGTTTCTCTTTAGAAACTTTTTTTCTTTGGAGGAGTTGGCTGTTGGTGGTTCGTGTAATGACCTCGGATGTCTATTGGTAGAGGAAAGTTAACGCATTATTACGCAGCCACGTCATGTCAGAATGGGGCCGTTAAACCTGATGCCTCGTGTAGATAGAATGATACACTCTCTGCACATTAAGAACCCTTGCAACAACTCTTTAAGGGATCCAAAGGTAGCCTGTTAAATTTCTGTTCCTATCAAATATATCCTCAATTTCCAACGGCAGTCGAAATGTCAGGCTCTTCATCCCAATCTACCCCTATTACAGGATTGTTACCGGCAATCATGAAGATGCAATCATTAGAAAAGTGTGTCTTTTATATATGGAGTATGGAGTTCAACTTTTAGGAACAATTTCAAAAAATCGTGTTGTGTGTTCACATGTTTATTCGTATTCCAAAAAAAGGAAATTCGCTATTATAGCATTATCATTATAAAACACAGTTTGTCGTCACATTTAAGATTTCATAAAAAAAAAATGTTTTTACAAAAATAACGTTCTCCATGGTAAATTTATAAAAGGGGAGGTCAATAAAACCTGACAACATCAAACTTGAACTATATCAACCAACGGAACGAATGTAGAACAACTGTCATGTTCCTGACCTGGTATAGGCATTTTCTAACAAAAATGGTGGATTAAACCTAATTCCATAGGTAGCTAAACCTCCCACTTGAAAGACTGTTGTTTATAGTTCCGTTATATGGACAAAATTTGATGATCAACCGAAATAAATATAGTCTTGCTATGAAAACAACGAAAACCCTTTACTTCTGTTTTACTGCTGTAATACATTTGTAATATACACGATCGAATTTAGTCGATCAACTTGTTTTTATTACCATGAACTCTTACGGCATATTTTTTTTTTGAAAACGCAATGGACAACATAAATTGTAAATTTACCAAATAACTAATTGTTGTTGTTTTCAAATATATGAATACCCCCAAAAAATTGCTTAATTCTAATTATCTGTCAACATGAAAAATATTCAATTTATATTCGAAACCAGCTAATAATATTGTTAATCCAGCTTGACCATTGTCAGGCAACGTAAAGAAAAAACTTAAGTATATCCCCTCAAATTTTCAGATAACAGAAAGTGCATGGGTGTCTAACAGATAAGGAAAAGGCCCGCACGCTACACCCATCACTGATAAGCTGTTAATTAAATATCATTCAGTCATTCTGTTCAGCAGTACTTGAGACTGAGACTTGAGAACGTATGACGATTGGGATATACTTTAGGTAACATACTGTTCTAAAAATAAATCATTTGAAAAATGATCACTGCATTGATACATGAAGTTCATTTTAATGTCTTATAAATAACGTGGGGGTTTTTGACAGAGTATCTTCTCGAATGTTCCGAATGACGTGATATACTTCTAGAGGATTCCCATTGTTTGTAAATAAGTCATCGATTACCTTTTTTAGTAAACATTATATCATAGATCCTTAACGGAACAGGTTCTAGATCTTTCTGGAAATATACTTATAGTGGTAAGCCTTATCAAAAATCGACAATTTACACCAATGCCATTTTTGTCTAAAAAATAAATGTTTAGTTGACCTTTAAATGTTTATGTCATTCAAGATACACCATACACAGTTCAAGATTCATATTATACAATTCGTGATAACGATTTAAATTCGTGATTTCGAATTCAAATATATATTTTGGGAGGTCCTAAATGGGCTTCCGTAGTGAGTGCCACAATCATGCAAAAAAAAACAACATTCATTAATTATTGTTATGTTATAAATCAGGCTACTGGTTGCTTCAAATGTCGGTACCGTTTATAGCTGTCAATACGATATGAGTTTTGCTCATTGCTGAAGGACGTACGGTGACCTATAGCTGTTAACATTAACATTTGGAATCCGTTGGATAGTTGTCTCATTGGCAATCATATCACGTTAGTTGTATTTTTATAAATAAATTTATATTAGAAAAGAACATCTTACTCTTAAGTCAGTGGATGTTAACTGTATGAACTGTACATGTACAATGTATTAGCGATTTTGCGATTACTGGTTAAGGTAAATGGACCGACATATTGTTTCCGCTTCTATTTTTAGTTCTACTTCATTCACTGGAAATAAATTGTAAGCTAATCTTAAGAATTTGTGTGAAACGGGACATTTAAAATTGTGTTTGACCTCAATCTTAAATAAACGAAACTCTTTGTCAATATTTCAAAACTTGCTTATCAAAAAAAAAAAATAGTTATAATATTCGAAATTAACTGTCTGTCAACTTTGGTTTTGATATGAGTGCATTCATTTGATCAAAAATGTGTTCTTGATGGCCCAGGAAATTAATTTTTTTTACTTACAGCTTACAAAAATGTCGAGTTTCCCCTCGGTCACAATATCATGACGAAAATGTTATTTATGCTATGCTTCACCTTATAAGACAAGGGTATTATAAAGAAGTACAGTACTAAAACACTACAGAAAATGATATCACTAATTGAATCTTTTAAATAAAAATATTTTGCAGTATATTTTCCAAGGCACATAAACTGCGTAAAAGCAATCGAGTTAATGTATTGCTCACTGCACAAATATGCTCACATACATGTATAGTAAAATAAAGGACAATGTCTCATTAAATATTGTTTTGGAAATTTTAAAAGATGTGTTTCCTCTGTGCACGTTTTACAATAAGATATGTTAATTAAATTGCCATTTTTTAAAGGGCAAGAACAATCTCAAGTAATATCATTAAAAGTCACAATAGGCTCATTGCATCAGTTCAGTTTACTTTTACAAAAGAAACAATCGCACACATTCATTTTTACTTCTTTATACAAACAAATTGGTGACAAAGTACAGGTTTTTTAATTAGAAAATAAGTATAGCTAGCACACAGCCTTATCACAGGTTAGGAAAGCATGCATATGACATGCATACATTCTTTCATTGCAAGAGAAAGATAAATATCTCCGTCAAATTCGGATTTTCATAGGCAACATACATGTTCATAACCCCCTTCCACACAAAAAATAAAATAAAAACAGTAATCCATATCCATACAAATTGTAGAAATTCTAACGACTTTTGCTTTTCGTTTCGAATTAATCATGTAAATATAAGCTGTTTAATTTGTTCTAAATATGACATGTTTGAAGGCAATCGTTTTACCTTAAAGATTACACTTTGTAGTTTAGATCTTTGACAAAAAAAGCTTTAGTTGTTGAGTGTTGTTTAGTGTAGGTTACCCAAAGTAAAGTTGCATATATTAAAATTCGGAATGTTTTTTGGAAATTGTGACAACAACCCGACTAAAGAGAAAAAACAACCAAAGGCCACCTTCAGCTGGCCCCTATACAAAAATGTGTACTAGTTCAGTGATAATGGACGTCATACTTTACTCCAAAACATATCAATGAACTAAAATTAAAAATCATACAAGAAACATAAAGGCAAGAGGCTCCTTGGGTTAAACATTTTTTGTGATATCTCAACACTCCCCCTATAATTGTAGCCAATGTTAAAACATTGAAAGCATGTTCGGAACGATATATAAACATTGGCTTGCTAATTAAGTCTACACATTAACATGTTCTGCCAAAAAAATGCAAGTTTCATAAAAACACGAACTATAGTAGTAGTTGAATATTCCTTATAACAGAGTTATTCCCGACCAGGAACTTCAGTAAATATTTACCGGAATTATGGTTTATTTTGTTTATCATATCTTTTTAATAAATCAATAATTATGAAATAAATTGCATAATAGTCCTCTTTCTTTAAATAATTTAGTATATCATGTAGTAACCTTTGTTTCTGTACTTTTCTTAATGTAAAATTCATAAAGATGTCAAGTAACTTGTTTTCTCTAGCATATCTGAAATAAAGAAAAGCCAAAATTCTATCCGTATCTTTAATAACAGCTGCAGTAGGTATGTCTCTATTATAATTTCTCGATTCCAACTATTCACACTGACAGACTGTCAAAATAAGACTGTTGGAAATGAGAAAAATTCGCGTTTTAAAAAACCCAGCAATATCTCTTAATGTGTCACTTGTTACTTTATAAACTACATAAACTATTTAACTTCTATTAAACAATTTTTAAGTATAAAATATATCTGGTTTCTTTGAAAAATTTCACCAAAATTTGTACATCTACCCACTTCCACATCGACAAAAATAAGTGTATCTAACCGGAAGTGCACATTCGTGAAGTCAACTTTCGAATACACGAAGGAAATCAGAACAGGTGATTGTAAACACTGACTGGTGCAGTACACAAACGATGTGTAAGAAACTGAATCTTTGGCATGCTCAACAGTCGGGACTCATCCAATCAATTTGATCTATATACTTTTCTGGCTTTTGGGACAACAATCCTTTGATTTGAAATAGCTAACAAGACATTTTTAAACTTCTCTTATGAAGATGAACTCAGACACTGGAAATAACACTCGAAGAACGAAAATGATTTACAATGAAATATAAATGAAACATAATTATAAAATTTTTAGGAACATTTTTGTACAAGCGACTCATTTCACAAATAATCTTACTACTTAAAATACTCTTTAAATCGTGAACATTTCAGTATGAAGTGTTAATTTCTATCGTAGATACTTCGCGAAACGAATCCCTGGTATCTGGTATAGTCCAAATAATTCTTATATCTTGAAGGGCAAATTTGGTCTTACTCTGCCGTCACATCATACTAAAATAGCCTTACAAGACATCACAATTTTTCAGACTTATGTTAAGACATCGTGTCCTTTTTAGGAAGTATATTATATTCAGGAGGTCAACGAATTGATAAATAAAAATCCTGTATCAATAATCCGGTGCTTCTTATTCATCGTTAAATAGTATTGCACAACTTGATTGAGGTTCTATTGTGTTTATAAAACTCCGTCACATATACTCAAAATTCTATATGAAAATTTAGGATTCGAAATAAATTAAGAGAAAATTGACGAAGGTAAATGTTTGTTTTCCATTTTGTTATGATATAAGTTAGCTATGATAGTAAAAAGATATTGATTTCGTCAATTGCTGATTTTTTACATCTTATGCATCTGTTAAAATTCATTCTTTCGTCCGGGTACAAACTACAACTGAAGAAATTGAACAAACTCTTGCATCTTGCTGCCCACTGCATTACTTTTACTTCAAATTGTAGATTTATACTTCATAATTACCTTTTATTCATCATATTAATGTTGAGTATTTTTTGTATTTGCAAAAGTATGAATTATTCGAAATACTAATGATTTTCTTATCCCATGCATAGATTACCTTAGCCGTATTTGGCACAACTTTTTAGAAATTGACCCTCAATGCTCTTCAACGTTATACTTGTTTGGATTTCTAACTATTTAGATCTGAGCGTCACTGATGAGTCTTATGAAAATGAAACGCGAATCTGGCGAATCAAGTTGTAAGCCTGGTATCAAATTGTAAACCTGGTACATCAACCCAGTGGTCAAATAGTTATCTAAGGTAACAGGCTTATAATTTAATATGCCAGACGCGCGTTTCGTCTACATAAGACAAATCAGTTACGCTCAGATTAAAACAGCTATAAAGCCAAACAAGTTGAAGAGCATTGAGAACCAAACAGTTGTGACAAATACTGCTAAGGTTATCTATGCCTGGGATAAGAAGATCCTTAGTATTTCGAAAAATTCATACTTTTGTAAGCAGAAAATGATAAAAATTACCGTATAATTAATATTCATGTCAACACCGAAATGCCGACTACTGGGCTGGTGATACCGTCGTGGACGAAACGTCCACCAGCAGGGTATAGACCACAAAGGTACAAGGCTAATAATATAATACGCCGTTTTCAAGCAATTCCAAAGCGCAATGTATATTCGAGATTTGCTTCGTGTATTTATATTCAAAAATATTTATTTTGACATATTCCCAACTCACTTCCATGGTTTCATTCAAAAGCTTTTACCAAAACTTATATATATATATATATATATATATATATATTTATATATATATATATATATATATATATATATATATATTTATATATATATATATATATATATATATATACCATCCCCCTTCCCCTCCACCCCGAACCACAAAAAAAATGTTTTTATAACCGGCAGTGCATATACACAATGTCAAGCTTTGAGTACACCTCGACGGAAGACAGAACAGGTGATTGTAAATACTGACTGATGGAACAACACATTGTAAGAAGATTAATGTTTGCCATGCTCAATAGTTATAGATTCGCCAAATCAAGCTAGCAAGACATCTTGAACTTCCCTAATTATGATAAACACAAATATTGAAATAGCAATTTAAGAACAAAAATAACAATGACACATATAAAATGTTTTGTAACATAAAACAAGCGACTCATTTCATAAATAGTCTTACTAGTTAAATCATGAACGTTACAGTATAACTTATCAATTTGCGTTGTATTTGTGCGAAATGAGCCTCTGATGTCTAGTAACGTTAAGTCAAAATGATTCAAATTTCTGGTAAAATTTGGTGGGCTTTTTCTTATGTTTTGCGTTGTAACCACTTCAAAATAAAATACACTTAATAGACGTCATAATTTTTCAGAGTTATGTCTAGACGTTATGTCCTTTCCAGGATGTATATTATATTTAGTATCGGTAGTCATCGAATTGATAATAAAAACATTCTGTACTAAAAACCGGTGTTTCTTACTAGTTGTGCTTTACTAGTTGGTATTTTATTGTGTTGATTAAACTCCGTCACACATACTCCATACTCAAAATTCGATATTAAAATTTTGGATTCATGATAAATGAGGAAAAAATTGAAGAAAGTATGTATGTGTGTTAACTTTGTTTCAATATAAGCTAGATGTAATAATAACAACATATTGAATTGTCAATTGTAGATATTATACATTTTAGGCACCTGTTAAAATTTATTCTTTTGAACATTACAATCTTGAACTGAACATATTGTACAGACTCAATCTTGCATCTTGTTGAACACTGCCGTATGTTTACTTCTGGGTGCTGTTTAGTAATATTATATTCATCGTTTCCCCTTTTTATAAATGCTGAGTAGTTTTTGTCAAACGTCGTAGGTGTTACTTCAACCATGATGAATTGCAGAAGAGTTCGGAAATCAGTAGGTTTGTGCAAACGAAAAATTAGTCAAATTTGTCCTAACCAACTATTTAGATATAAGAAGATGTGGTATGAGTGCCAATGAGACAACTCTCCATCCAAGTCAAAATTTATAAAAGTAAACCATTATACGTCACAGTACGGTCTTCAACACGGAGCCTTGGCTCACACCGAACAGTAAGCTATAAAGGGCCCCAAACATTACTAGTGTAAAACCATTCACACGGGAAAAACCAACGGTCTAATCTATATAAAAAACGAGAAACGAGAAACACTTATGAACCACATCAACAAACGACAACTACTGAACATCAGATTCCTGACTTAGGACAGGTGCAAACGAATGCAGCGGGTTTAAACGTTTTAATGGTACCAAACCTTCACCCTTTTTCTGAATCAATAGTGTAACATCCCAACATAGAAAGACACACTATAAAATATCAACTGAAATAGCTTAACTCAATCAAAGGACATATTAACACCATTGAACATACACTAAACATGCAGAACTTGTAGCTAGACAAATAGAACAGTGGCAATATTTTCAATTATATTTTTCTTTAAAAGGTAAAAGTTATTTTTAAATACTTCGTTTTTTTGTGTAGGGGACATACGTATACAATGGCTTATAAAAGGATATCAAAGGAATAAAATAACATATCCATACAGATAGAAATTCAAACGATTTTTGCTTTTGTTCCGAATAAACTTTTGAATTTTTGTTTTTAATTGTTTTAACCTTTAACTTTGCTATTTGTCGTCCAGACCTTCGCTGATAGAAGCTTAACGTCCTGTGACAGATGAAATATTACGGAATATTTAAATGTTCCTTATTTCACAGTCTTACACGACCAAAACCTTTACAAATCTACAGTTCATATTTTGATTTGAATTCCGGATGATAATTTTTTTTTAATCATATCTATTTTATGATATTGATAATAATTGCAATATATCTTGAAGTATGCAAGCAGCCATTATTGTATGATAGTCCTCTCTCTTTTAATGAATCTATATAAATTGAGTAACCTTTTTTGTGCACTTTTCTTACAGTGCATTTCATAGAGCTGCCAGTACTTTTTTTCTCTTTGAATATCTGAACTAAATAAAACCCAATATCATTGATTGTACTGTAAACATACACAAATGCACTTTAACACACACAGATTACTTACTAAAACGGAAACAAGATTATATCTAGTGTGTGCAGTCAAATAATTGATCGATAAAAGTATCACAAATAAAGTTAAATGCGCCTTAATCATCGTTAAAAAGTGTTGCACAACTTAGTTTCGGTTTTATTGTGTTTCAAAATTCGTCACACATTGTTGTCAATATAAAGGAAATTCATTCGACTGTCATACAAGTGAGATGTTTAGCTTGCTACAAACCCAGGTCTAATCCACAATTTTCTACATAAGAAAATGACTTTAACAAGTCAAGAATATGACAGTTGTTATCTATTCTTTTATGTGTATGCGATTTACATTTTGCCATTTGATTAGGAACTTTCCGTGTTGAATTTCGAGTCGCATGTTGGATATAAAAAGAACCAACAAAGAATAAATAATTTATCAACAAATTATGATGCATTATACCAGAACGATAACTAAAAACACCAAATCGTGCTATGGATGAATATAAAAACAAAACCCTGAAAGTCTACAGCTGTTAATTTTTCCAGTTTGTGGCCGGCTCGAAATTGAAATACAAATTTATTGACAAAAACAGCATGATGGAAGTAGTAATAAAAAATAAGAATCCCTCGGTTTTCAAATGTTTAGCATTGAGCGTTCCTGATGAAGGTAAATCCAGAAAAGCGCTGCAGACGCATGAAATTATTAAACGTGTTGTTTTCAATTTTTTTTCAGACAATTTCAATTCCTCATATGACTGTTTCAAACACACCTAAGATGCCAAGTTGTACTTTCAACCCCTTATTTTTACGTATTTAGAAAAGACCTCTCAGAAACAAAATAAAATGAGTATCCGAAATATATATCATGAGCCAATCGGAAACTCTGAGAAATAACTGTTGATACCCCTCATAAAAAGCCCGCCTCATTTGAGATAATAAATAGAATTTTCGAATAATTAAATAATACAATAACTCATAAGATACGTACCAGACTTATAATTTAGTTCGCCAGACGCGTGTTTAGTCTTCATAAGACTTTGAAACTGATCTAAAATCAAAACAATTGATTAATCTGATATAAAGATAGGGCAGTCTATTCCTGGGGTAAGAAAAACCTGAGTGTTTCAAATATCTAAACATTTTATAAGCAGTAAGTATACAGCATATCAACATATCAATTATATTCGTGGCAATAAAAAAGTGCTGACTAATGAGCTGGTGATACTATCATGCACAGTAATATTCATTGATCATACGGTCTACCTTGATGAGTTTTGGTCATTGTTGAAGGCCGTATAGTGATCCATAGTTGCTTATATCAAAGAAATTTGGACTCCCAGTGCATATTTGTCTCATTAGCAGTCATATTACATATTATGTTCATACTGAATTGTAGTCAATTGTATTTTTACACATTTCTTCATATTAGAAAAAATAGCAACTAATTATGACGTCATTGGATGTGAACAATGCGACTTGTACATGTATCAGCAGTGAATGGTAAGGCAAATGACCGAAATATTGTGTCCGCTTCAATTTTTAGATCTACTTTATTTATTGATACATTCAATACTAATCTGTTAAAAAACTACAGTTAAGGTGGTTGGTGGCCTCAATTGAAATACTTCAAATTCTTTAACAGTTAAAAAAAGACTTGCTTATCACAACAAAAAATAAAAGTAAATAAAAAAAAAACCGAATGACTGCTAATTCAGTTGCTCATATGGAGTGCACTTTCTTATTGGCATTTCAAATCACAGTACATGTACCGATTTAGTATTATTTTTTAAAAGAGAAGAATCAATCGAGCATGTTCCATTTTTTATATAAACAACAAATGAGTGACTAAGTAAAGTACTTTATTTTAAAACTTAAAATATTAGTGGAGCTTACAAACAGTCTTGCCTCGGGTTTAGGAAATGTGCAATATGTCATTAATACACTGGTTTGTTTGATGCCAAAAATAAATATCTCTGTTAAACACATTTTTAAAGGGGACATACAGAAATTTGTTATCTCTTTGCATTTCCGAACTGAAGAAAATACAAATCATTTCAGTATTTGCAATTGTGCCTGTGAACTGTCGCTTTTGCAATTTCTTGATTACAGCTAATCATCGACTGTCTCGGAGTCGACGGTTGGAAATGCGAAAATTCGCGGTTTCTTGAGAAGCAGTAATAATCTAAAACATCAATACCAATCACTTGTTTATTATATACTACAAAGCATTTCTCACTTCAAGAAATAAATTCAAAGTAGTAAACATATTTGGTTTCATTTAAAAGCTTTTACCAAAACGTATACATTTACCGTACACATAGATCAAATATATCACAAGTTTTATGAGTACATAATATGCAGGTGGTGTACATATATTGCGTCTTGAAAACAGAAAAACTCACGTGCACTACTTATAAAATTGAATCCTTTAGTTTTAATTAAGTTTTTTTGTTTAAACTAGAAGGTTTAACGCATAAAGGAGATGTTTTTATTGACTTTTTATTATATCTCAAATTGACAAATCTAGACTTTTCTATTATTTTATGTTTTATCGATAAAAAAAGAAAATAATAAAGCTTATATTTGTAGACTTTATCCATTAATTTTCTAATCAACATAGGACATTGAGATTCTTCGTATAAATTTAGACATTTCTCTTATGATATTGATACATGTATTTCACATATATGTATTGAAAGCGGTAGAGAGCATTAAAAGTATGTATTTAAAATATGAAGTTCAGAGTTCTCTATTTGGAGTCCGTATTTTCAATCGTTACAGAACAATCAACATGGAAAAAAAAATTAAAAACAAATTACAATTTAGTCGGTACATTTCAGATTTTTTTTTTAAAGTTATTAACAAATATACCAAATAGAAAATACAGAAGTCAATAGAACCTGGTGGGTTTAACCTGGTTGTATAGTTAGCTAAACCTCCAATGTGTTATTCCTTTATATTGACAAAGTGAGAATGAGGCAATGGTCAAAATAAGTTATAAATGTAAAATGAAATTAATTTGTGTATCACTATTCTAATTATCTGTCAAAATAAACAAAATTCTTTCTGTATATTCGGAACCAACTTATAGTACTATTGGATTTATATTTCAGCTAGGCCATAGTCTGGATTTAAAAAATACTGTTTATAGGTGAAGGCCAAATTAACTGCATATATTTGTATCTAAAAGACACATGCCCATTGAATTTAGACAGCGTAAGCAGGAAACATAATATGTATATCCCCACTCGCAATTAAAATTTTTAAATTATAAAAGTGGGTGTCTGACATAGAGTTTTGAAGAATAATAAATAATGGGAACAAAAAAATATAGAATAAAGAATAATAAGGTGCTTAAATATAAAGAATGGAGAATAATAGGCAAAACATATAATGCATAGAGACATAATGCCTTAAAATAAAGAATACAGTCATGAGGACGACCAATCCAGAGTAAGACATTAGATACGGAAAATGCTAATACGTTAGACCCATCACTTATACATGTAATCTGCTAACTCGATATGGGGTCATTCTGTTCAGCAATACTAGAGAGCATGTTACGAACAATTTTAAGTGCATTCAACATTCATAACAGGAAGTATTCTGTGTCCAACTTTGTTGGACAAAAATGAGGAAACTACATCTTATCGTTGTGAAGCGGCTGACCAGGAATCGGATCTGTTATGAATTACCAGAAATAAAGTCTAAACGTATCAAAATACAAGAAAACAGAAAGTTAAACAGTGGCAGATTCAGAAATTTTGATAAGGGAGGAGGCTGACTGACATAAGGAGGAGGCCGCTCCAGTCATGATCCAGTGATTCCCTATATCATCAACCACATTTTCCCCACAAAAGAGGGGGCCCGGCCCCCTGGATCCGCCTATGAAGTAAGTGTGCTCATACCATGACATGAAATAAAGGAAATACCAATTAACCTCATGGGAAATTTATTACTGACTCAGACCAAAGACCATATCCCCTCCCTCTTACAAGTTAAATGGTTGCTCCCTAAAGAACATATACATGTTCGAAACAAAACCTATTCAAATATTATCTTTGCACTATTCATTTAACTAAGATAAAAGTGTCAGTTGTTATGGACTTCCCGATTATCCTTTTTGAAATTGCCTGGTACTTTATATATACATTTTATTAAACAGTGTCTATATATAATAAACCAATGAAAAGTCAGTTAAAAGACAAGGCAAGGGTGTTTGTTAAGTTTATTTTTAAAGTCCTATAATTAACATGTGACAGACTAGTATCTTCTCGAATGTTCCAATCTATGACGTAATAAACTTCTAGAAGATTCACATTGTTTGTAAATAACATGAATACGTCAACGATTGAAACTAATAGTATGTTCTATCCTTAACGAGAAGGTCCTGGATCAATCTTGAAATACACGAAGTGGTAAGCTTCAATATATCAATGTCATTTATGTTTCAAAATTGATCTTAAAATGTTTGTGTCATTCAAGATACACCATAAACAGTTTATAACTATTATTACTGATAATTCCTACCTACTATCATTCATAAATGGACTATTTCATGACACTCTGCCGTGTATTGTTTTCATTACTTGTGTTTTAATTCAGTCCTTTTGTTTTTTCTGATGAATTGTTTCATGTTGTCATGTCGGTACCTCTCATAGCTGTGTATACGGTTTGAAATTTGTGCATTGCTGAAGACTGCACGGTGACCAACATAGTGGATAACATCACGTTTATGAAAACTAAGGTTGATAGATAATTATATTATTGGCAATTATTTCACATCTCATATTCTTATAAATACACTTAGAAAAAGAATATGTAACATTAAAACGACGGGTTTGCCGCAATTGGTTAAGGAAATTAACCTACATATATATTAATGTTTCTGCGTCTATTTTTAGTTAAACTTAAAAATAAAATATTGATATTCATTGATAAATATTATGCTAATCTCTAAAGTACTTGATTAAAAATGGTTCGTTTAAGATTGTGGGTGACCTCAATTTGAATACACGAAACTTTAAATCAATATTTTAAACTTGAATTAATTTTTTCATTTGGAAACTAAAAAAAGGTAAACATCTGTCAATTAAGAAGCTGGTAGGGATGTGATTCACATATCTTTCTAGATTGATTAGAAATTAAGGATTTCATGGTCATATGCACCTTTTTGATAAAGTCATCTGTTCCTAACTTTGATACTGTCTTGAATTAATTAAAGGTTCGAGTTTGCACACAGTCTTTTCGGTAAGAAAAATGACATATATACAATCTTTGATTGAAAGCCAAAACTAAAAATATGAAATTCGGGTTTTGGATAGGGGACATACTTGTACATGTACTTTACCCAAAAAAGTAAATCCATAACAATAATACTCATTCTAACTTGTTGATGGTTTCGAAATTATATAGTCTATTTAATTTGTTCTAAAATTGTTTGGAATTGCTTACTTTTTGTCGTTTAAATCTTCGATGGTAGATGCTTTGCTTGATTTATTGTTTGTTGCTTAACGTTCAGTTGCTAGCTTTTCGGGCATATTCAGCACGATGTAGAAGCTTTGTCTTGCCTAATGAGTCGACTAAACATTTACAATGTCTTCCCAAAATTTCACGTCTTATTAAAGACAAAAAACAAAAACTCACTAAAACGCGAACAACATTGTATTTAGAGTGTGTAGTTAAATAAAGTATACAAAACAAAATCTTATGCATTTGATTCATCGTTTTATAGTATTGAACAACTTTGTTTCGGTTTATTGTTTAAAAATAACTTCGTCACACATACTGAACTTTCTATAATAAGATTTACGGTTCATGATATCATTGTAAATAACCTCCTCGAGAATCATACACAATCTCATGGTCGTTATAACCGGAAGTGCACATATGTCAAGTCAACTACGAGAAAAGGGAAACAGGTGTTTGTTGTGTTATTTTTTAGTTGGTATAAGTAATTTAGATAAATAAGAAAGTATTTACAATTGCAAATGTTTTTATATCCTATGCATCTGTTAAAATTTATTTTTTGAGCGTGTTCAGATTAGAACTGACTAGTTTAGTATGGGTTCTAGTCATTGTTGAAGGCGGTATATACTTCATTTCCCCTTTAAATTCATGCTGAGCAATTTTTATTAAATTTGTATTACCACAACTATAATGACTATCAGAAGAGTTCTGGAATTTTAAGGTTTGTGCACACGAAAAATTGGTCTTAACGTACAACATTGTGTGCAAGTATACAGGTTGTCTATAAGAACCATATGACGTTTACAGTTATTGTTTCTCTTTGTTTGTATGTAAGCTTTTTAAGGTTAAGAGGTTGATGTGGACAAATGTGTTGTGTGGTTATGTTAGAGATAACTTTTATTTAAGAATCAAATGCTTCTTTGATAATTATGATCATTTCATTGTGTTAAAGCGTTAACTGAATCAGATGTTGTTAAAAGCGTGGAAGCATTTCATATAAAAACAACGTCCGCATGATCAACGCTTTTACAACCTTGAACAACTAGTTGTTTAGAAATAATATCACGGTGACCAATACTCTATTATTATTTTTTTTGGTTTAAAGCATGATTTAAATAATGTAAACAAACTTAATTGAGCGGATACGTCTATTTCCCTTTTAAGCCTATTATGAAGCACAATATATATATTGGAAATTTATATACACAAATATTTAGTTTGACGTATTCCTGACTGTTGTATGTTTGCATTTTTTCTATGAGCGAAAGTCGCAAAAAAATACGTAGCCCGTGAATTTAAGACAAGTTGTTAACAATATGATATAGACAAAAATAGCAACGTATATAAAAAAAAAAAACTGAATTCAGGCACTTGCCAAATCATAAAGCAACTGCTCAAAGGTTTACCGTTTTCTGTTCGTAATCAGAATTATGTTCGGCCTCTTCAATGCTGATCAATGTCTCACTACTCACTGCAAGTTGAAGACACCTGTTATGTGTATTTCTCAGCTATATGTAGGTGGTGTGAATAACGTTTCGTTTCTGCTATGAAAAAAATACATGCAAATCTGGAATCAATTTAACAAAAACCAAGCTGTAACTAAAAAAGAAAATTTCAAAACTGGTCGGGTTGTTGTTCCTATCAAACGTTCTCTGTTTCCATTCTCAATAATTTTCACTAGATAAATCGCGAGTCTGAAATTAACATAATCAATTATTGTTCAGACTTTTCAGTTATTGTTAGGATCATTTGAGATTAAGCTACATTTATTGTTATATCAATAAAGAAAACTAAATGGTTGTCTTGAACTTGCAGTGTGGTTAGAGTTTCTGCTTCATCCTGAAGGTCCTACTTTGATTTTTAATAACAGTTAACACTTAAATTGGCAAATCTCCAAACATTGCTCAATGCATATTACTAGTAATTGTACTGAAAGGGGATTTTGTTTTAATAACAGTGCCTATTTTCACTTGTAGCATAAACTGTAATTCCTTCTAATAAATATAATGACTGAATTAGACTTATGGATATGGAAGTTTAAAGTGTAAATCGTTTTGAATCGATGTGAACAAACTTACTATTAATCTATAGGTTAGATGTATATTTAAGAATTTTGAATATTTCCGGTTAAGGATATGCTAAAGATACCAGAAGGACATTCAAACTCTTTTTTTATTAGAAATTATTTTCACAATATAACTGAGGGGCGAAAGATACCAGAGGGATAGTCAAACTTGGAGATCGAAAATAAACTGACAACGTCATGGCTAAAAAAGAAAAAAGACAAACAGACAAATAATAGTACACAACACATAACATAGAAAACTAAAGACACGAACACCACCAAAAACTTGGGGGTGATCTCAGGTGACTAAGTGTATGAATGATGAGCATATAGCCAATGTTCTTCTTATTCTTTTTTTTTAAGTGAAAACATATCGTAAGAAACTGGTGTTGATCACAACCACATTTTAGTCTGCAGATTACATCAATTTTGGTTTTTGAAATGACGGATATCAATACATTTGAAACAACCCAGAGTCTTGCATCATTCCACAACTGGCCACTCTCGTCATATTCACCTGTCATAATTGTCAGAACCGGATTTTCATACACCGGCAACGGCTATGTAGTAGAATGCAAGTTTTGCAAGGCAAGAGTAGACATGAGTCAGATGAGCAATGTGATTTCACTCTCTGATGAGCATGACACCAGTTGTAGAAGAAAAGCAAATCATCAAAATAACTTTGAAATTCCAGTGCCGTTACATAATATAGCAGGGAATGCAGAAGAGAGGTCCAACAATCAGAACAATCATGCGTCAGCTTCATCTTATAATGATGATGCCAATATTAATAGAAGAAACACAACCGAATACAATTGCGTGGAAACTATTTCAGTAGATACAACCAACATTGCACAAGCGCTCTTGCCAGCTCAACCCATGAATGCAGCCCCAGAACCAAGAATACATTCAAGAATCTGTACTGATTTAACTTTGTATGATAATTATCAGTCAATAAAATTAGCACCCTTTTGGTGTTGTCCCTGTCGACTCTGTAGATACAACAACACTGTTTCTGTTTTTAGGAATAAAAGTAAAACTTGTATGTATAGATTTCCAAAATTAAATGTAAAAACTCTGATGCTTCGTCTACGGGAAAGAGTATCAAGTGGCCCACTTCATCCAGAATTCAACACATTAGAAGCTAGGAAAAGAAATCTAAATGGAATTATTGACTCATATTCATGCGTAGCAGAAGCAGGATTCTTTGCTGATAGTAAGTAAAATTATTCGTGTATATGTTGGTATATAATAATATAATAGTTATACCAAAACAACATCGATATAATCGTTAAAACCTTATAAAAAAGATTTGCATCCTTCTGTCTTCGAATAAATAAACATTTATTAAGACACAATGAATGTTATCAAAAAATATCCTTTCTACATAAGATTTTGAATTTGATAGCTTACAAATGTAATAGGCGTTTTTGTTTTTGTGTAGAAATAAAGACAATTCGTTTAAGTAATAACACAAGATACTTATATACTTTTTAAAACATATCTCCGAAAAACTTTCATAGGTTCCTGTGGCAAAGAAAGAATATGCTGCTTTTACTGTGATGGCAATCTAAGAAACCAACTGTTGAGTTATAATCCATTCAGAGAACACACACGCTGGTTTCCTGTATGTCCATTCATCTTACAACAGAAAGGAGAAGAATATATTCACAACGTGTTACAGGTACATTTATTTTCCTTTCGTTTGCTTTGTCTTCAATATAATGGGCTATATATTTTCCGGTCTATGTGTCCGTCTGTTCGTCCCATATCGGGTTACAATTTTGTTTGTATTTAGTAATTTTTCACATGCAACTTCTTTCATTGTGTTGAAATTGAATTGAACTGTTTACGATATATTCTTAATTAGGATTTTAACCCATATTTCTCGGTTCATTGAACATGAAAATGAATAGTGTAAGTGGTGTCATATGGACAGACATTCTTGCGAGTTTGTTCTTGGTCCTCGGTGTTCGTTTTTGTCTTGCATATACCTATTAATTATAATCAAACACTAATCTTACAATCATATGCGTTACTTCATTAAGGACTGAAATAGTATAATCAAGAAGTCGGCAATATTTGTTTCATCTGTTTCTATGTATATTTTAGTATAATTGTCAGTCATTGGAACTGAGTTGTAGAATGAAGTTCTCATGCAGTACATTTATCATTAATCAATTCATCGTTTTAAAGTATCAAATCAATTTTTATCACATCTTTTAAATGTAGAAATGTTGTACGTATCTTCCTATTCCTATCCCACTTTTACCTTTTTTGCAGGATACAAAGGTACTAAAGACTTTCTTGAAAGGTATGTTAATATATTTTCTATATGAATTTTCCAAATCCTATTTATTATACAATTTCTTTTGTTCTTGTAGCCATTCGCTTTGAATTCATTTCTTTTGATAGATTTGATTTGATTTCTTCCCCTGTTTCACCATGTTATGTCTTGACTAATGACATGCATAATGATTTGTATGTCTTGTGAAATACATGAAATATTAACACTTGACAAGATTCCCAACCTCAAATTTTATGAATGAATCACACCACGATCATTCTCAAAACTGTATTGAATAGAAATTTCTTAAATTAAGCTATGCCATGCTATTTGTAATACAAAACTATTTCCACTACACTTTTTTTTGTATAGGGTTGTCACTTCACGTAATCACCTAAATTGAAATATAAAAGATCTATCTATCTTTCTCCTGTTTCAGATAAAATGAGGACATCTTGCATGGACACAAACGTTGTAGTAGAAGCTATGCGAGTATATCCACAGTATGCAATAGGAAAAGTTGTGGAGGAATTCTTTATAGAGAATGGTAATGAATGTTATTTCGCTATCTCAAAAATGTGAAACACGATTTACGGTTTATCTAACATATATGTACGTGATACGGATTATGATCTTCTCATATATTTTATGATGGTATGATACTAAACCCCTAACGGGAGGGATTGTGCTTGATTTTCATACCGGGGGTTTGATGGACACATAATCTTTCAATCTGTTTAATTTAAGTCTGGAACTGACATGTCAGTAACTGCTAGTAGTACTTTGTTAATTCATGTATCATTGTCATTTTGCTTAGTTTCTTTTAATGCCTACTCTGACATCAGACTCGGACTTCCTATAAACTGAGTTTTACTGTTAGTTTTGCTGTGTGTTAGTTTTTTCTACATTGGCTAAATGTATAGGGGAGGCTGAGATCTCACAAAACATGTTTAACCCTGCCGCATGTTTGCGCCTGTCCCAAGTCAGACGCCTCTGGCCTTTTTAGTCATGTATGAATTTGATTTTTGTTCATTTATATATTTTGGAGTTTAGTATGACGTCCATTATCAGTGAACTGGTACATATTTTTGTTTAGGGGCCAGCTTAAGCACGCTTCCGGGAGCGGGATTTTCTCGCTAAATTAAAGACCCATTTGTGGATTACGGCTGTTTTATGCTCTTTGGTCGGGTTGTTGTCTCTTTGACACATTCCCCATTTCTATCCTCAATTTTGTTGGTCATTTATTTAACAATATTTATTATCTGTTACTCAATCTCATGATTCAATTCAAAATATACAAATGAAGGTAAAACATAATACGAGTGGTTATCATTCTCTTTTATGAAAGAGACTGGGTGTTTTTTTTATTTAAATTCACTTCTGTCAGAGTAAACTTCATAACACAAATAATGCACCACATATTACCATAAATGTAACAGTTTCATTTTTTTTGCGACAAATTTGTAGAAATATATTAAGATTTAAACGATTTAAACATTATATTTGCATAAATTTAGAGACATTTTCATTTTTATTAGAGCTGCGACAACTGAGATGTCAATCTCAAAAGTCTGAGATAGATCATGTTTTTCCAATTCAACAAGAGAAAAAAAATCGATTATACAACTATTTCAGGTGAAAAGGTACAAACAACTCATTTTAACAATAATTTGGCAACTGTCTTTGAGGTAAAAACTATGATTTTTGAGACGTCAAAAATTTATATTCAGCATATTTTCATTTTCACAGAATTTAATGTTTATGAATTCAGACACGTTATGTCACAATTTTGACTCATTTCTTTCATTTAAAAAAAAATGAAAGCAAAAACATTTTGTGCTCCAACGAAAGAATTGGATATGTTGTATTTTTTGTTGTTGGTGGGTGTAATTAACATGATTAATAAGTAATTGTTTTCAAGTATCTATTATAAAAAATAAAAAAAAACCATCTTTTCCTGTCAAACAATTTAATTTCTTTATATTTGTATCAAATACCTACATTTTGTATTGATTTTCATTTCAAATATCAATGCTTTTTTTTCTGACATCAGTTGAATTGTGAATCATTTTATCATTTATGCTATTTTGCACTTCTGAGAGGGTTGACTTTGAATTGTAAAAACGTTCACAGAATTAATATCAAATATCTTATGTAGGTTGCAAACGCCAACAGAATAATGCAAATATGTTTTTTTTTCTTTTCTAGGTTACTTTCCGTGTCGTGAGGATCTCTTTGAATCTCTTGAGAATTTCCAACTATGGAAGACTTCTGAAACATATGACTACTGTCGATTCGAAATCAGAAGATGATGTTGAAGTAAAATGCTAGATGTGGCTACCTTCTCAAATTATATAGAACTAATTTTAATGATCAACACTCATGAGCAGAAGATATGGATATTATTTGCCAACGTTTGAATTTTACTTTTGTCTGTGAGGGATTAACACATATGCAGTTGCGTTCAATCGGAATGGGGACGTTTAATCCGAGAGCGCCATGCTCTATGTACGTTTAAGAACACCTTGCTACATCTCTTAGAGGGATCCATAGATACAGTGTAGCAGGTTTAGTTACTGCCTTTATCGAACGTATCCTCATTTTCAGTGGTTGTCCAAATATCCAATCCTTCAGGTTAGTCAACATTGCAGAACCTATCTAGTGCATTAATTGTTAATTGTTTCTCGTCTTGAATATGCATTAAATATTTGCCATTAGCCATTCAAAGCACGCACCAATCTTCTTGTATAATTTATGCGAGTAATATCAAAGTTCAGTTTCCAAAAGAACAGATAAATTCTAATTTTTGGCACAATTCATATCATATTTTGTTAAACATTTCACTTTAAATAAAAAAAAAATGAAAAAACAATTATTATGATCTGAACAATGTGCATAGCAATTGCACTATTACGACTTTAAAATTAGTATTACATGAAAATCAAAATAATTTCTCATTTTCAGTATTTATCTATTTGACCAATCAGTTATTGTTATTTATTATTGAAAGAGTTTCCTCTTGTTATATGTATGTGTTCATCCTGATGTCAGCATTATGTTAATTTAATACTGGTGTGTTGTTGTTAAATTTATATTTTGTTTATTTTTGTTTATCTTTTTTTTTTATATTATGTGCATACAAATGTATATAGTTATATTAGCTGTTGACGTTATAGAAATAAATCCTTATTTAAATATATGTTTTATACATTAATTTCATTTGTTTTAATCCAATCTTCATTTAAAACTTGATGTGGGTTTTACATCATTGGACCATCAAATATATTGCTGTGCATGTACTTATTTTGTATCCTGGATAGATACCACCTCATATCCTTTTTTGTTCTTTTATATTTACCTCATTTTATTTTTACAAAGAATTAAATGAAGAAATCAATGTTTTTTTTCTGTAAAGTAAAATTCATCGCATACTTTTGACAAATGAAAATTTGAATATAGAATTAGGTAGACGCTGTATGGATCCAATAGATATTGCTATCATTTAACAATAAAGGATATATATATATATATATATATTAACAATAATTAGCAAAGTTTTCAAAGTTGCATAGATTATGATTAATATGTTCCAATCGTCGTTGCCACAATCCTTAACAATTTCCAAGATTTAACCTACTGGTTTAGACTTTTCACCAGGATTGTACTTACATGAGCAACACGACTGGTGCCACATGTGTAAGAGGATCTGCTTATCCTTCCAATGATCTGAGATTACTCCCGGTTTTTGGTGGGTTTCGTGTTGCTCAGTCTTTAGTTTTCTATGCTGTTGTTTGTCTCTTGGTATTTTATCTTTTTTACAATGGCATTGTCAGTGTATTTTCGACTCATGAGTTTAAATGTTCCCTTTTTGTACCCTTCGCCTCTCTATTTCAGACCGTAAAGTAAGGTGAAAACATAGGTCCCTGAAAGACAGGATGTGAAAGAGTTTGTCAATAAAACCAATGAACATCAATTTTTACTCTTTTCTAAATGTTGTTCATGTTGATTTATATGATTTTACCGTTAATTTTTACATGAAAACTGGCAATTGACACGAAATTGTAGGTTTCAGAAGTTTTTAAAAAGGCTTTGGAAGTACCAGGTTACGTCCACTCTGTGTTTTTGTCAAATGTATTTCTATTTGTATCCATCTGATGAATGGATGAGTTAAGCCCTTTTCAACTGATTTTTACAGTTTATGTTTTTGTTCTACTATTACACCACTGTACCAGGTTAGGGGAGGGGATGGGATCCCGCTAACATATTTAACATCGCTTATTATGTATGTATATATGTGCCTGTCCCAAATCAGGAGCCTGTAATTCAGTGGTTGTCGTTTGTTGCTGTGTTACATATTTGGTTTTTGTTCATTTTCTGTACATAAGTAATGCCGTTATTTTTTTATTTGGATTGTTTTACATGTCATTTCTGGGCCTTTCATAGCTGACTATGTTGAAGGACATAGTTGTTAATCTCGGTGTCATTTGGTCTCTTGTGAAGACTTGTCTAATTGGCCATCACACTTCATCTCTTTTTTATACTAGTAATCATTTGAAAGAGATAAGAATTTTCTTTACCGTATATTCGATATAAGAAAATGATGTCATAAATCGTAAAGTTAAAACACGGTATAAAGTAGTTATTTCAATTAAATTATACTTTAAAATGCCTGAGCTTTTAGATGCAGTAAGATATTGTTTTAACATAAACATCCTTTAAGCAATAGCTGCCTTGCTCATTCCATGATTTTTAAAATCTTGTTGATTTACTATATGTATCAAAACTGGGTTGAACAAAAGAAACACAATTATACCTTACATTTTTTTATTTGAAGAATTTATACATTCATTCGCATATACAAGATTTAAATTATATAAGAAATATCATTGAAATGGTATATTCAGATGCAATTGTTGGATATGTTTATATTGAAATGATAGGCGGGATGAATCATATTTGAAGACGACGAACCCCCACCTCCACACCCCTTCCTCCGCCCCTCCCCTACTCTATACCCCCAACCTGTGACTATGGTGAAACGGCACAACACAAAAACCAACTGTGTTAAACTGCAAAAAATATGAGAAACAGCAGAAACCGACAACCACGCAATTACAGGTACCTTACTTGGGACAGGCATATATAAAATGTTGCAGGGTTAATCAGGTTTGCTGGTGACAAACCCTCGGCTTACCTAAAGAGGGGCGTAACAGTACAAAAAAAGAAAAACATAAGTTGAAAAGGAAATAACTTATCAGATTGATTCATCGCTTGATAACAACGGATCAATTGTTGCCTGGACGTGTTTGGGAATGTACACATCTCCACAACAAAAAAGTACGGATACCAATAAAAACAATATTCAAAGATCTTATAACGATGTTGAAATGGGACAATACTGATATCTTCAAATTTAACTAACGATGTATCTAGTCACACATACACAAACACACTTACACAAGCAAGTCAATTTCCTTTCGATTTGTGATAATCTATTTGACGTAGATTTTCTTCAACTTTTTCAAAATATTCTTTGTGTTTTTTCTCCACAATTTGAAAAGTTTCGTTAACTGCCTTTTGACTTTGTTCATTTAACTCCTTTCGACAATTCTCAATTTCTTTCTTATCCGTGGCTGGATCAAGTGCAACAAGACCACCTAATCTATTAATTTGGTCCAATAGATGCTTGTCAGATACTTCAACATATGAGGATGTTATTGCATGAACAGCATAAGTCATTGTGCTCACCTTTAACAGTTCTTCAAGGATAACTTCATTTGTAAATTCGGTTATTTTACCTTGTTTTAGTTTTATATCAACAGCAAACGTCATATCTTCTACCAAATGTTGCACGTTTTCGTGAAATTTCATTTTTATTACACTAGAAATAGTTTGGAAAAACCTGATAATCTTTCCCCATTCGGAACGAACCTCTGCTATTAATTTTAAAACTTTTACCCAAATTTTTCGGATGTTGTCAAAATTAAATTTTTCGATTTTAAAACCCTCTAATTTTTTTAAAGTATTTGTTATCCTCTTCTTCGTATTTATTATTTTTTGAAAAGTTTCCTCTTTACTACGTTTCAAATCATTCAACGCATCTTTTGAAATCTCGATTTTTATACACGATCTAGTTAGTTCATGCTGAACCAAAGTGTCCGAATTTAATATTGTTTGATTCCATCCATCACAAGTTTTATGCATATGTTCGTTTGCCTCAGACAAGAATTCTTTTGCACCAAGATGAATATCCTCTATGTTTATGACTAATTGCTTTACTTCATCATCATTTCTCATTAACTCTTTGTGGAGTTCAATTAATTTTTCACAATATTCTATTGCATTATTGCTTAGCTTGATACCCTGATGATGAGCATCTGTATGTTCGGTATCTGTCTTAAGCTTTTTATCGATATATGAAATAGTATGTTTTAAACCTTTCACGTCATCTATTTTATTCCAGTCGGGTTCTTTTTGTCCATTGTTTTTCCCAGCAGTGGCTATTTCCACCAAGTGATCGACCACTACGTGCAGATCTTCTGCAAATATATATGCACGATTTTTTGCCCTGTCCTCAGTTGATTCTGCGTCTCGATTGTCATGAACTTGTTCGTACAACGAATGATCTCTGCCAAATATTAATTTATTTGCTACTCCAAACGTCCAATCAAATACGGAAAACGCCATCAACTTCATCGAGGAATCGTCAAGTGCTATTTTTAAATCTGCTGATGCACCTTTCATCTCCTCATCGATTTCTTCATACTTTTTATCCAACATCTCTTTTTCTTCTTTTGATTTCTTTACCTCTTTCTTTGTGGCTCGTATAGCCATTTCTGTATCTTTAGCTTTATCCTCATAAAAGCCTTTTGCCATTGAGATTGCTTCTAGAAGTTCATTAGTAACATTCATGAAGAGGAGAAAACGAACTTCTACATCGAGAGACAGCTTGAGACTCTCATCTGCGATTAATTCAATTTTCTTTAGAATCTTTTTGTTGAAATATTGCACTTTATCATTTGTGCCCTCTGTCAAGACATTAACTAATATTTTCAAATGACTATCAATATTTGTCATATGTATTTTCATTGAATCCATATTTATATGCGCCTCATAAAATTCATCCCATCCAATATTTGCTAGTTGCACCAGTGATGCCCGGAATGAATCGGGGTATTCCAAATATTCAAACTTTTTCTGGAAAGATTTCATGTTTAGAGTGAAGTCACTGTCATTTGCTATAAGCAATAAATTGCCAATTAAAGTTATGACCTGAGGAGGTGAGGTCAATAATTTGGTCAAGGCCGTAAAAGGTTCAATTTCTGTGTCTGCAACTTTTTTAGCTCTCTCTTTTAAATTGTGCCTGGAGATATATTTTGTTTCTTTCGCTGCTTCAAAAGTCCTAGAACACATTAATATATCTGAATAATTGTAGCATTTGCAGCACAAATATCAAGACATGTTGGATATTTGCAGAATGTAATCTGTTGTTATATCTTAAGATATTTAGATCAAAGTTGACATTGTATATATTTGTTATTCTCTTCAATTTTCTAATGGTTTTATCGATTATTGCGTATGCTGTATGTAATACATACTTTGCTCACAAAAGTTTGAGTTTGAGCGTTTGTGATGAAAATTGAATTAAGATTTATTGGACGCAAGTAATGTATAAATTGTTATTTTTATTCACTAAAGGAAGAATTCATGATGTGTTTGAATATATATTGTTGGTAACATGTTAAACGACTCAATACTCTTTTATTTTAAATAATTAGTTCCATGCAAAATATAAACATAAGGAGATATGGTATAATTGCCTATGAGAAAACCTTCTACGGAAGTTCAAATGAAGTAGATGTAAGCAACTATAGACAAACGTACGGCCTTCAACAATAATAAAACCTAAAGCCTATAATCGGCTATAAAAGACCTCGACATGAAAAAGATAAAACAATTCAATTGAAAAAGCTAAACTGATCCAAAAGAGAAATGAGGAGGAAAGATTAAAAATGACACTCCGTAAATTTTATGGACACCATCACGAATTGGTTGTCCCTATACGATGTGTCTTCGTCTAAACTAAACTAAAACTACCATCAACATGATCTACTTCGTTTGTCTACTAAGTACTGAACGTGGCCTATTCCCGAGTATGACTGTTTTGCCGAGATTGCATTCGCATTGCTATACGACGTGTCTCGTAACTCATACATCCAACATTCATGTATTTATTTATTTATGTATTTATGATGTTTCTTTGCATGACAAATATGTCGTTGTTCCAGCAGATAAAGCCTCCAATAATATAGTCTTCATATGTAAAAACCATTATTTGCAATGTCTCGCAACAGAGCTTGGAATAAATAGAACAACTGGTAATCCTACATATTCTTTAACATCATTTACTAAGGATGAAATTTTACAAAATCACAAATCTGTCCTTCTTCCTTTTGGTATCAACATCAAAGAAAACGAAGAAAATTTACCGTCATTATACTGGATACCAAAACTTCACAAAACTCCATATAGAGAACGATACATGGCTGGGTCATCAAAATGTTCGACTAAACATCTTTTTAAAGTACTATCTACTATTCTTTCTACAGTTAAAGATGGGCTTCAAAAATAGAGATATATTCTACCAGTGGTGTTAACCAGATGTGGATTCTCAAAATTTCGAAAGATCTACTGCTTAATCTTCGATCACAATCTTTGAAATTTTGCAGCAACATAAAGACTTTTGATTTTTCTGCGCTTTACACTACTATTCCCCATGCTCAGTTGAAAGATCGACTTCACCATCTCATTAAACAGAGCTTTTTCTATAAAAATGGGAATCGTAGTTACAAATTTCTTGTTTTGGGTTACAATAATTCATATTTTGTAAAGAACCACACTGAATCTACCAGAAAATATACTGAAGATGATATTATCAAAATGCTGGACTTTTTGATCGACAATATATTTGTTGAGTTTGGAGGACAGATATTTCAACAGACAGTCGGTATTCCAATGGGTACTAATTGTGCACCCCTACTGGCCGATTTGTTTTTGTACTCGTATGAAGCAGAATTCATTCAGAACCTTCTAAAAGACAAAAAGAAAAGCACATTGCGAAATTCTTGAATTTTACTTTCAGATATATTGATGATGTCCTATCATTGAATAACCCATATTTCAGCCAATACTTACGTCTCATATATCCCAGTGAACCTGAAATTAAGGATACTACTGATACTAGAAGGACTGCTTCATACCTTGATCTTTTTCTCAATATTGACACAGATGGACGACTTCACACGAAAATCTATGATAAACGGGACGATTTCAACTTCCCAATTATCAATTTCCCATTTCTCAGCAGTAACATACCCGCTGCCTCTTCGTATGGTGTTTACATATCTCAGTTGATACGTTATGCTCGTGCATGTTCACACTATACGGACTTTATATACAGGAGTGTGCTCCTAACGCAGAAACTGCTCCAACAAAGTTATGAGGACAGATTAAAAATGACACTCCGTAAATTTTATGGACACCATCACGAATTGGTTAATTCATACGATGTGTCTTTGTCCAAACTAACAAAGGACATTTTTACCACGTGTTAGATTGTGGTTTGCCATTACTTCGTCTGATCTTTTAAGTACCGAACGTGACTTATTCCCGATTGTGACTGTTTTGCTGAGTGTGAATTCGCATTGCTATAAGACGTGTCACGGTATTTTTCTATCCAAAATCCATGTATTTAGTTTTGATGTTATATATGTTATTCTCATCGGATTTTGTCAAATGTCTTGTCGTTTATAGTTGTAAATCTTATTTTTTTCTGTTCTATTCGTGTGTTACGGTAAAGATAATTAATCACCCAGTTCATTTATAAGATTTTAGTTTGGGTCAACCAAATTTATACGATGTATTTGGTTTACAGTTTGATTTAGAAGAAATACCGACATAGCTTGATAATACAATTAAATATCTAATTACTACCACAATTTTATGTTAAAAAGTATTGTAATTTTCATTATTATTAATACATGTTATATCAGTATTACAAACCTAATCTTGAACTCTATCCTATTTTTTGGAAATTTATTGAAATTTAAATGTGACGTCACATTGGTCGTCAATTTCTTCGGCTAACATATAATACGTTGTTCGGCTGTGCCTTGTTTATGTGCTGATTTAGGTTGTTTTATTCTGTGGTTAGTCACCACATCGGTGTTAACATGTAAATCTATTATATAGTCATTTTTATAAATTTACTGTTGGCAAAAGTATGAATTATTCTAAATACTAAGGATTTTCTTATCCCAGACATATAACCTTAGCCGTATTTGGCACAACTTTTTGGAACTTTTGGTCCTCAATGCTCTTCAAATTCGTACTTGTTTTGGCTTTCGAACTTTTTTTATCTGAGCGTCACTGATGGGTCTTATGTAGACGAAACGCGCGTCTGGCGTATTAAATTATAAGCCTGGTACCTTTTGGTACCTATTATTTGTGTGTGTGTCTGTCCTGTATGTTCTCCCATTTATTTGTATTGTAGTCCTGTCATGTAATCTTGTCATTTTAATGTTATATTTAACATTGCCATAAAAGCGGGAGGTTTGGCTAGCGACAAAACAAGGTTCAACCCACCATTTTTTCTTAAAATGTCCTGTACCAAGTCAGGAAAATGGCTATTGTTATATTATAGTTCATTTCTGTGTGTGTTGCATTTTAGTGTTGAGTTTATGTTGTGTCGTTGTTCTCCTCTAATATTTGATGTGTTTCCCTCAGTTTTAGTTTGTAACCCAGATTTGTTTTTTTCTCAATCGATTTACGAATTTCGAATAGCGGTATACTACTGTTGCCTTTATTTGTGTGAGTTCAGTTGGATAGTGTGTTTTGTCTTATCGTTTGTGGTTTGAATTCTGTATTTTCGATACCTTTCATATATGTCTTATTTGTCAGAATAGTCGAGTTGATTTCCATCTTCCATGGATAAAGTATTGTGTTAGTCCAAATAAGTCGTTACAGCATAAATTTAAAAAAGGCTTTCAAGACCGTCAAAATCATGATAATTATTTGGACTAGCATTGGAAAATAATTGTGAATTTTGGATCTCGTTTCATATAGTTGTATGAATTTCAAGATCATATATACGTCACAGAATACGTTACTGTTTATAGTGTCCTGTGCTGTCGTTAATTGGAGATGTCCGTTGTTATTCTGTGCTTAGTGTTTCTGCGTTTTTTGTACTGTATTCATGTGTTGTTATTTTAGCGATATCTTTAAACATTGACATATCGGCGAGAAGTTTGGCTAGCCATAAAACCAGCATCAACCCCAATTTTTTTCTTAATATGTCCGGTATCAAGTCAGGAATATGGCAGTTGTAATCAAATATTCCGTTTCTATGCATGTTGGCGTTTGTTTTTGTTGCAGTTCAGTGTTTCGAATGTTCCGTTGTTTTCCTCTTATAGTTGATGTGTTTCCCTCAGAATTAGTTTGTAACCCGGATTTCTTTTCTCTTAATCGATTTATGACTTAAACAGCGGATTACTACTGTTGCCTTTATTGATAACAGCACAAATACAAAAAAAAATAATAAGACAGACATGAACCAACGACAACCACTGAACAACCGGCTTCTGACTTTTTAGAGACACATAAAGGATGTAGTGGGGTATGCCATATTTGTAGGTACCACATCTTCCCTCTTCTTAAACTGGGACACAGTTGCAACGGCACAACACAAGAACAAACTACACAAAACAATAACGAAAAGCGAATATGAGAATAGCATTAAACGACAAATGTTTCATGCTCCTGACTTAATTAGGCACATATAAAAACATTCTGAAGGAGCAAACCCTCCCTCTATTATTGGACAATGGTGTAACAGTACAAAATCAAAAAGACGATATAAATGTGTTAAAGGGGGCTTAACTCATCACATCAATACAAAGTTGGTTGTTAGTTAACTAAAATGTAAACGGGTACGTTAAATATATTAACATTCTTAAATTTGAGGAAGGGACGCTGGTATTGTGCTTATGCCCTCGTCCCTCTTGGTGTGTACTGCTTTGTGATACCAAGTGACACGTGAGAAAAATAGATAGAGAGTAAAAGATAACGATATTTTATATATAACAAACACAAACTTACCTAAGAAGAAATATGGAAATAATAACACACACAGGACGACAACTACCGCTGCATGCCACCATTTTGTCTAAGGCTTCAATATAAAATTAATCATGTAGATGTATAGTTATGGATACGTCAATACAGGTATAATATAAGTTATCTACGTTCATATCCGTAGATATATATCCGTAGATATGAACGTAGATAACAAATTTATCCCAGTTCTTAGTCCGAATCTGACGATTTTCAGGAAATTCAACCACAAAGTGTAACGTGGAAGTTTCGTTTTTTTCTATTATATCAAGAAGTTTTATTGAAAGTTGGAAATTTGACATCCTTTTTACGGGGTATATGGTACCACCTTTTGTAGAACCAATCAGGTAGTCAAATATAAGACAATTTTTAACAGAGAAAGAGAAACTGGAATAAATCAAATTTGGCGCTCAATGCTGCAAGCATTTACGCCAAAGACGGTGTAACGTTGACGTGGGTCATTTGCAAAGCTAGGCCAGTCCCATTAATTGACGATGTTGTAGCCAAGTGAAGCATTTACTAAAATTAATGCAAATGATCGGCATGATAGGATAAAATCGTTAGTGGGTTACATATCTAATTACAGATATCATGGATAATGTACGAATTTCAATTGTTCACTAGGAGCAACTAAGGAAATTGGGGAAAGGCGAGTGAAGCTCCCCAGGGTTATGGATATTAACGTCCGTGTATATGGGGTAGCAACACCCGGGGCTATGGGTTTTTAACGACATGCGTTAGTCAACCAAAATCCGAAAAATATACTAAGCCGGAGATAATATGTTTTGTATCAATGACGTATATTATAGTCTATTGTGAAATAAATAGGTCATTTTGCTAAATTACTAAACCTGACGTTTTTACCAATGGTGTGCCTTCCATCATAACGTAGTAAACGTGTTATTAGTGGTATATTTGATCTTGCGCACCCAGAGTCTTTGGTTTTCAGTACAGAATGATTATTTACAGTTATGTCTTTTCGTCGTTTTTGAATTTTTAAACGGGTTGCTGTCTGTTTTTATATATTTTCTATGACTTTCGAATGACTAATTTGTATATTCTCTCTCCATTGTCTTATCAGCGTTTTACATATCTCAATTAAAACGTTACGTTCGCTCATGTTCACACTATACGGACTTGCTCTTTACACTTTAATTGTTCCCACAGAGATTTTTCATTTTCATATTGTAATATTTTGATAATGGATTCGCATGACTATGATACATGCTATCCTTGCACGCGACGCGTTCACTGTCGACGCTCTTGGTCTTGGCTCTTTTGCAGTTATGCGATTTCCTTTTTTCTTTATCTGTTTTGCCTTGATTTGTATATTCTATTTATGTTATTGAAATTTAAAACGTAAGTTAGTAATCTCATGTGCCATTGAAATTATATGAAGCTGGCGAGTCTTATGTATACGAAATGAGCACCTTGCTATTATAAGCCTTGCATCTTTGACAAGTATTTGTAGGATTTATTGCCTTTGATCATGTTCATAAACGTTTTGATAATATTTTTGTTAGGCTTGCACTTTGATCTGGGAATCTTTTATCAATAATGCACAAATGATCTGCTTGATACGATCTACACAGTCATTTGAACTTGTTCGAAATAGTCAGTCGATTTATTAGTAGAGTTAGAACCTTTCAATGGCAATTTACGCATTTGTGCGTTTTGAGTGGAAACTTATAGAAGAAAGAGAAAGAGATTGAAAAACTGAAAATAAAAACAAGTTTTAGAAAGTGTTGGTCTACTAAAAAGTCAATAGTCAGACATTATTATACCTCAGTATGTTTTTTCTATATAAAAAAGAATGAAATATTTGTGCTATTTCACTATTTGCCAGTCAATAGTTTCAAATAAAATTGAGAATGGAAATGGGGAATGTGTCAAAGAGACAACAACCCGACCACAGAACAGACAACAGCAGAAGGCCACCAACAGGTCTTCAATGCAGCGAGAAATTCCCGCACCCGGAGGCGTCCTTCAGCTGGCCCCTAAACAAATATATATACTAGTTCAGTGATAATGAACGCCATACTAAACTCCAAATTGTACACAAGAAACTAAAATTAAAAATAATACAAGACTAACAAAGGCTAGAGGCTCCTGACTTGGGACAGGCGCAAAAATGCGGCGGGGTTAAACATGTTTATGAGATCTCAACCCTCCCCCTATACCTCTAGCCAATGTAGAAAAGTAAACGCATAACAATACGCACATTAAAATTCAGTTCAAGAGAAGTCCGAGTTTGATGTCAGAAGATGTAACCAAAGAAAATAAACAAAATGACAATAATACATAAATAACAACAGACTACTAGCAGTTAACTGACATGCCAGCTCCAGACTTCAATTAAACTGATTGAAAGATTATGTCTTCATCATATGAATATCAGGCACAATCCTTCCCGTTAGGGGTTTAGTATCATACCATCATAACATATATGAGAAGAACATAACCCGTGTCATGCCAACAACTGGTTTTTAAATAAATGTGTTTAGTGCCGATGCAAAGACCCTATAAGTGAATCAATATTAACGCCAAAATATGCAATCTTTAATGACCTGACAACAGTATCGTAACTATATCCCTTCTTAATAAGTCTATTTAAAGGTTTTGTTAGTCAAAGACTATTACCCCGGTCAATAGTCTTTTAAACATATTTCCCGTACTTTTTCATACTAATGTTTCATTGGACAACAATGACGTCATTGACTATTTTGCTTTGCAACGTTTAACTCTGAAATATCGTAAACGGCATAATCTGTATGTGTCCGTCGTCGTAATTTCAAATTAATATTTACTTACCAGAAGCAATTAAAAAAGAAAGAGAAAATCTACGCGACATATTTTAATAACTAAAACATAACAAATGTATGGTATGGGTCTGTCGTCGTCTTCATAATCTGAGATTGCTTTGGTGTACGGTAATATATTTTAGCTAGCGTTTATTATATGCACGGGAATTTTTACAAAAGGATTCCTGGTCTCGATTACAGTAAATAAAATATTGACAAATACCACACGGGCAAAAAAAAAAAAAAAAACCCCTGATAGTTCATCATGTGCATTTTTATGTGACTATTTGTTTTTTTCCCATGTAGTCTTTTTAGAAAGTTGTTTTGTTCGGTATAATAAAACACTTAATGACTGGTTATGAGTGTAATAGCAAGTTTGTTCTCCCTTTGATACTAACTATTGCCCTCGGCTTCGCCTCAAGCAATAGTTGGTATCTCAGGGACAACAAACTTGCTATTACCCTCTTAACCAGTCAATAGGTGTATATTATTAGTCTATTGTTTATAGGATAAACTTCCCTTGAATGGCGATTTTTTTTTAACTTTCTTTGTTTTTGATGAAATTACGGTGAATACTATAACGGGAACTGTAAATAGAAAACCCTATCTAATAAAACTTCTGAATTGTTAAAATCGTTGCCCATTTGCCCATTTTTGTTAAATCCAGATGTGTACTTACTTCTATGGGGTTGTTTCCTCGCGCGGACTATAGTAGGTAGAGGAAAACTGTAAATAGCAAGACAAATTTACTGATACGTCTGAAGTCTGAATTATCAATTGTTCTGTGTATGCCTCAACTCGCCACAATATGAAATAATAACATAATATGTTATTTGGACGTTTTTAGCTCAAACTTTGGTATCTCTAGAAATTTAATAGCATTTTAATTCGACCCTTGCATATGTTTTTGCCTGTTCATTAAGAAATTTTGGCAGAAATTATAGATAGATAGAGGAAGACTTTAACGGTAATACAAGTCATTATATCAACAAATATTAATATAATGTCCACTTTTAATGTTAATGTGAATACAGTAGGCTATTGATAGAAACTGAAAACGCAAACTATGATCATTAAATACGTTTTGTGACCGAAATCGTAACAGTTGACTCCTTGTAGGAGTTATATCCCTTAAATATTTTTTGTTGACCAACTTGTAGCAATTTACTTAATGTTTTAGAAATTTACAACACAGCTGCAATAGATAGACTAAAGTTTTGAATAGCAATACAAGATTTTCAAATAATTCCACAATTAAAAAGTGACATTGGTGCAACAGCAACACAAAAACCAGTCGCCTACAGTGCGAAACAGCTAACGAAAAACAAATATGATCTACAGTACATCAATAAAATAACAACCATGCACTGAATAACTGTTTTCGTAGAAGGGACAGGCACATACAGAACTTGGCAGGGTTGAAAATGTATGCGATTGCACAACTTTCCCCCTTTTTCCTACAAAATCAAACTCATCAAATCTATACAAAAGACAAAAAAAAAATTAAAAACAACGAAGACACATAGTACAGATCTGAGAGTACTCGCAGTTACTAAATGCTAGTTCAAAACCAATAACAACTACTGAAAAATCATGTCTCTAAGAAAACATATAATACTAAAATGTCAATCCATTAGCATCCAACACCTAATATATTCAGTGAATATATGCATTGCAACCTTGACTACCACCTTGGCAACGTTGTTTCTAATTTTTTAGGTTTCAACAAAGCTGTGTGTAGTTTAAAATTTATGTTTTTCTAATTATCTGAAGTTTTACATGTTCAATTCATTCGAAACTTTCCTGCAATATCTATTATATCTTTTAAAGAGAGCTTTGTACTTACCGTTATTATACCACCTAACAACATAAACATGGCGATCAATTCGTCTATATTTAGATACAGGTAAACCAGGTATTTTTTTGAAAATTGAAGTGTGTTCTTATATAATGGAATAGCGCTTGTATCATTTTCTAAAATGTTATAAAAACAATAATATTTAAAAATGTATTAATAATAATAATTATGATGAAAATGTAGTAATAATAAAACTTTTTTTAATTTGTGTTATTTTCATTTAGTTTTTAATCGGCTTCAGAATATAAAGAAAGTCTATCAAACATATATAGATATATATGTGGTATGAGACAAATCTCCATCCAAGTCACAATTTTTAAAAGTAAACCATTCTTAGTCAAAGTACAGTCTTCAACACGGAGCCTTTGCTCATACCGAACAGCAAGCTATAAAGGGCCCAAAATATGACTAGTGTAAAACCATTCAAACAGGAAAACCAACGGTCTAATCTATATAAAAACGAGAAACGAGAAAGACTTATGAACCACATCAACAAACGACATTCAATGATGTATCTTCTTATTCTTGTATAAATTACAACAGTTTTTAAAAGATAATCAAGACATTCACCCCAATTAAAGTCATTGGTATGTAGTGTAATTAAGGTAAGAATTGTTGACAGTATTTGTTATTACTATAACGTGTATAATAATTAAAAAAAAATCTGAATTATATCTAAATGCGTAAGTGGAACTTTGTCATTGTTATACTATTAAATCAAGGTGTACGTCACTTGATATCTTTTTCAACGAAATCTTGACAAAATGTTATCTTTGTCCGTATGATTTTATATATTTCAGATTGATATAGTCACCTGCAGATTTACATATCCTTTTCCTTTGAGTTTTAGTGAAAAGATTATCAACGGCAGTCACCCATGCAACCTTGTTTTCATATTGTAATGACTGTTAGTTAAAAAATGTCAAAGAGAACAAGACAGACGTAATACTGAAGTGTCCAGTATGAATTAAGAGATGCCAAAGATACCAAAGGAACATTAAAACTAATAAGTCGAAAATAAACTGACAATGTCACGACAAAAAAAGAGAAAGAAAATTTTGGGGTGGGTGAGGGAAAAGAGGGGGGTTATTGTTGCGTTATTGAGACAATACCTTAACAGGAAAAAAACAGTCCTTAACGGTCGGTACGAATATCGTAAACAATATTTCAAGATCTAAATCATACTCAGTATTCAAGTAAATCATACTCAATATTGAAGCAAAATCCGATATCTCATGCAGAGTTTGCTACGCTCTCTGCACGTTAAAAACCCGTGCAATTAATCTTCGTGGTGTCATATTGTAAAGCTAAACTACTGTCCTCTTTCCGATATACTGTCATTTCAAGTAGTACCCTATCAGAGCTGTCATCAACATGAGAGACACAAAACTATAAAAAGAATTCACAAAATTTATAAGTAGGATTTTGACTTATGAACAAGCAAATGAACAATACACTAATTTTCAAGAGCTCAGCTCTTTATCGTTTAATCTCGATCAGAGTGTGCTCTTTCAAATTATGCAAACATGTTTTCCACACGGGCATTTTGTATAACTCGATTATTTGATTAAGTTCATATATTTTATTTTTTCGAATTTATTATGGCCTTGATGGCAGATCTTTCCATATAGACAAGTTTCTATATTTCAGTGCATAAATGAAATATAATACACAAAATGAAGTTTCTTGTTTTTTTTATATTTATACCTATTACGCCTATAAAACAAGGTTTAATCCCCATTTTCTACATTAGGAACTGCCTGTAGCAAGTCATGAATATGGCAGTTGTTTTCCATTCGTTTGATGTGTTTGAGCTATTGATTATGCCATTTGATAAGGACCTTTACGTATTTAATTAATTTCCCTTGGAGTTCGGTATTTTTTCTAATCTTAATTTTTTACAATACAAAGGAGCAGACTAGTATATGAGAGAGAGTTTGTAAGAAATATAAATGGGGAGATGAATACACTTCACTAAATTCGTGCGTGCAATTCTTACTACGATTGTTAACCAATAGACAAAAATAATGGTGCATGCATTATTGTTGTCTGATATTGTCAAATCTTTTATCGAATTATGATATGTTCAATGCTACTCTCGGATATATTTGTTTCAGTTAAGAATTATTTGGCAAAACCTTTAGAAATGTTTGGTCCTAATTGCTCTTCAGCTATGAACTTTATTTAGCCTTTTTCACTATTCTTATTCATGCTCCATTGGTGAGTCTTATGTTGACGAATTGAACCTGGCGTACAAAATGTTAATCCTGGTATCTATGATGAGTAAATTGAATGTTTTAATAACACTTCAAGTAAATTAAATAGTTTAATGTTTGCCAAAAAAGCTGTACTGTAATTCCTTTTGTGTATGCTTCAGTACAAAATGGAATTCAGTTTAATCCAGAATCTTGATAGTACAAATCGAAATTCCAATGTTTACTAGTACTTAGAAATTATAATTCTATTTTATGCTAATTTAACATGTTTAAATCAGGCACATTTCAGAATGTTCAAATCTACTTGTAAATATTTAGATAATCAGATCTGTATTAAAAATATCCTGGATTGTAAAAGATCATTCTAAAAATGACGGTATAAAAGAAATATTATGAGTTTACCTCACAGAAGAGTCTTTTTTTCTTTATATATTTTAATCTTTTGTTATGCTCACTGTATTGTATTTAATACACCAGACGCGCGTTTTGCCTACATAAGACTCATCAGTGACGCTCAGATTAAAATAGTTATAAAGCCAAACAAGTACAAAGTTGAAGAGCATTGAGGACCCAAAATTCCCAAAAAGTTGTGCCAAATACGGCTAAGGTCATCTATTCCTGGGATAAGAAAATCCTTAGTTTTCCGAAAAATTCAAAGTTTTGTAACAAGAAATTTATAAAAACGACCATATAATTGATATTCATGTCAACACCGAAGTGCTGACTACTGAGCTGGTGATACCCTCGGGGACGAAACGTCCACCAGCAGCGGCATCGACCCAGTGGTGTAAATAGTTATCAAAGGTACCAGGATTATAATTTAATACGCCAGACGCGCGTTTCGTCTACATAAGACTCATCAGTGACGCTCAGATCAAAATAGTTATAAAGCCAAACAAGTACAAAGTTGAAGAGCATTGAAAACCCAAAATTCCAAAAAAGTTGTGCCAAATACGGCTAAGGTCATCTATTCCTGGGATAAGAAAATCCTTAGTTTTCCGAAAAATTCAAAGTTTTGTAACAAGTAATTTATAAAAATGACCATATAATTGATATTCATGTCAACACCGAAGTGCTGACTACTGGGCTGGTGATACCATCGGGGACGAAACGTCCATCAGCAGCGGCATCGACCCAGTGGTGTAAATAGTTATCAAAGGTATCAGGATTATAATTTAATACGCCAGACGCGCGTTTCGTCTACATAAGACTCATCAGTGACGCTCAGATTAAAATAGTTATAAAGCCAAACAAGTACAAAGTTGAAGAGCATTGAGGACCCAAAATTCCAAAAAAGTTGTGCCAAATACGGCTAAGGTCATCTATTCCTGGGATAAGAAAATCCTTAGTTTTCCGAAAAATTCAAAGTTTTGTAACAAAAAATTTATAAAAATAACCATATAATTGATATTCATGTCAACACCGAAGTGCTGACTACTGGGCTGGTGATACCCTCGGGGACGAAACGTCCACCAGCAGCGATAAATATACAGTTAACACGGTAATTGTGGCAAATTTGTAGTAATTATAACGAAATTCTTGACCAAAATCAAAATACTTATTTGAAGTGTTTTCAATATTAATATATATGATAATTAATGTTAATGATCATGATCATGGGTTTTTTTTTGGAACAAATTTTAACAAAACCATGTTAAGTTTTCAATTATGTCTGAAAACTATTATCCAGGAGACCAGTTTGTAACTGAACTCAAAATCTGTGTTTCCGTTAACTTCGTTCATGGTTTAATGTCAAAATTGTTCTACAAAACACCATGAACTAAATATTAACAGATATCTTTAAAGTTGTAGTTATAATTTAAGTAAAAACAATTTTACGAAACTGAATGTTTTTTACTTTTTTTTTTTTTTATTACGGTATTGAAAATGGTATTATACAATCATTTGTTTTGCTTTTCATTTGAACAAGTGCATCGGCAAGTAATAAAAAAAAAGGAAAAACATCCAGTAGAGACCAGAAACCATTGTTTTAAGTGATATCCTGAATTCTCCTAGTACTAATATCATGGATATCCCAATTTTACTAGACAAGTATATTTTCGAATTTCAATAGAAATTTGCAGGATTCTGGGTTCAACTAAAATCTACTTCTATGACCTTTAGTCTCTGGTGGAGAGTTATCTCATTGGCAATCATACAACAGCTTCTTATATTTCTATTTAAATAATAAAATAAAGTCAGTGTTATTGCCATTCAAAAAACGCAGATGATAGCAAAGGGAATATCAAAACTTATCAGCTGAAGTTAGATCGACAAATCATGGCAATAAAAGAAAAACGACGAACTGATACAAAAACCAAATACTGATCCCGTCGGTGATGGCACAATCATAAAAAAGAGAACGAGAGAATTGATATAACCAACTTTTGAAAGCGCTCGTTTAACCTTCGAAAGTATGACTCCAACCTTTCCTCTAAGAACTCGTGGTTAGATAGCCTCATTGTGAGCAGCAATCGCAATAATTTTCTAATAATATGACAAGTTTTCATTTAGGAAAAATGCAACCTCTTTACTACATATTTACAGCAATATCTGAAAATCTTTTTATGCAATGTACTCTATAGATAATCCAAATAATTATGCAATTATGCACTTCACGGAAATCTACATACTAGATTCAAAACTAATGATAAATGGGATAATGTTACTATTCCTTAAACATGGTAGATGTGCTCTCCGGTTGCCTGCGTCTAATGATTGAAAGTTTATTAGGTGTATTTCTTTGACATTTAGGGGTCTTTTCGTCTCAGATTTTATTGATGTGTATGTGAATTAAAAAGCCTTTTTC